TCATTATGCTTTTCTCTCCCCTGTCCAGTTAAGGAGGGGAGTGACAGAGTGGCTTTGGCTGGCATCTGGCATCCAGCCAGGGTCAAGGCACAGACCTCCGCACCCACTGTTGCTGTTAAAGGCCATCCAGAGGAACATGCCTCGTAGCTCACCTGAACCATTAGCGAGCACCTGTAGTTTCTCAAGGAGTTCACGCCCCATCCATGGATGAGCCACAAGCAAGCTTTGCCTCCTGTACCCCTGAGTTTCACCTGATGGTAAAAATTCTACTGAGCCAGACATAGACAAATATCAACCATGCCCTATAGTCTAGAGCTTTAGATGTTTACTGAGGACTTAAAACTAAAGAAAATTACCTTGATAAATCCTCCTACAGAAAGCCTGGGCTGCAACTGGAAGGTAGTCTGATATGCTTAAGACATGTTCCACAGCATTCAATAGCATCAACAGGATTTCCTAGTCTCATGACTTACTGCCCAGACATTTTGCATGGCTGTAGTCAAGATATCAAATGAAGGTCAGCTGAGGCCAGGACTTCATTTCCATGGTGGGAGAGAGTCTTCAAACCATCTGGAAGAAGGAAGGGAATCTTACTCATAGATACAACTGTGTGCAAGCTTTTTCTGTCCATAGGGTATGTAGAAGCACTGCCAGATCTCAATGTAAATGACTTATTTGATGCATGCTTCCAAGGAGGCCACAACTTAACTTTGGATCCTCAAAGTCCTTCCTTTGCCTGCAGCATTGACACTGTCCAGCCTTCACTGAGAAACAAGCTTTCCTCTTGTCCTACATTGTCCTGAAAAGAGGAAAACTTTAATTTCAAGTGAGGTGTTACTTACTTTAACCAGGAGCAACATTTTTCCTCTATATTGAGGAAGTGAAACACTCTGGTTTCACATCAGCCTGTCAAAGACAGCCTGTATGCAAAATTCAAGCCATTGAGTTCAGGCCATCCTCACAGTCTTATCTCAGAACCTGAGAGCCAGTGAGACAGGAAAACCTTTTTGGAGGTTAACATATAGCTGTCCTTATGACTAAGATGACCAAGAATAGTCACAGCTACTTTTGCACTGCTTCTACATACAGAGCTTTACTAGGGATGAGAAAACAATAAATACATCCATTTACCTTGGCAAAAAAGTCACAAAGCAACTGCAATTCCATAAGAAAGAGCAGACATCCAACCTGTTACAGTATGCTAATGCCCCATAACGAATGCTGTTTCTACCTCTGTAATACAATCTGGGCATAGTGAGGACTTTGGATGGGAAGGATTTGGAGTTGGAATTCTTTTCAAACAGGATAATCATTAGAGGGTATCCGAGCAGTCATGCTATCTCCCCATTTGTCATCAAATGCATAAGGAAAACTGCCTCACCTGCAACTCTCCTTACTTTCAAAATTTAGTCGGAGCAAGTTGTACACATTACTTACCAGAGCACAGCCTCTTTGCTTTTCTCTGAATGAACACCACCATGAACATGATTTTACCCGTGTTATGGCACATTACTACAGAATTTGCGCCCACTTGATTAAGAAGCAGTGAAAAATCTTACTCACTTTTTTAACTTAAATGGGTGACATATAAATTAATGCAGCCCACAGGGCACTCTAAGTAAAATGATTCATGTTCCTTACATGGCAAAAATTAACAGGTATTTTTTTTAATCACCTTAGTAAACAATCTTTGGGGAGTTTTGCTGAGAGCCTAATCTGTATTTAATTTAGTCATTTGAAAATTACATGGATGAGCTTTGTGAAAAATCTCTTAAAAATGCAGCTGTGTTGTTTACCTTAATAAACAGCAGCAAAGTAAAGTGTTTGCTCTATTTTGGCCTCATCCTGTAAATGACTGAATGCATAAATCCAAGGTTCTGGATCCAGCCCACTGTAAGCTTGAGCCTTTCATTAATTCCTTCTTTACCTTTTTTATAGATTTGCTGAAAAAAGCTTTGTTGTGAGTTTCCCTTAAAAATCTCTCAAAGCTGTCAGATATGAGAGCTTTACTAGCATACAACAACATTAAGGAGAAAATGCTGGATAAAGTCTAGGTATTAGAGTAAAGAAATACCCCCTTTGTTAAATGATGGAAGAAAGTTTAAAAAAGAAAAAACAAAGAGAAAGCCCAGACCAGTGCAGTGGAGATTTGCAGTACAACAGCTGCTCCTTTAATTTAAACACTGAAATGAATGACTATATTTGATTTTGAGCTTTCAGAGGCAAGATGCCTTGAGAAGCATGGCAAGAACAAAACACAATGTATGGGATGAGTTAAAAATGAAAACAACAGGCCTTGCAAATAAGCCCACTTCAAAACAATGTAATAAAGGTCAAGGGGAGATTTTCCTATTAAAAAAGAAGACGAATCATTAATATATGCCTGACAATGACTGAAAATGCAGCCTTCTAAAATGGCTGAGTCTCATTGGGGCTGCATTTAAATTCTGCTAAGTATTAAGAAATGCCTAAATAATGGCCAGAGTTCAGAGGTGCATAATACATCTTGTTATAAAGAGCACCTGCCGAGACCATACTGGCCTATAGTTTAAACATTTTCTGCAATTAAAATACCTAAATCTAGAGGCCACCTGTTTCCTGCCTTTGCCTTCCTCGAGTGCCAGAAGTTTTACTGTAAGCACAGGTGAGCAAAATAAGATGCTGTCTGATGTTAGGGGACTCAAGGAATTTGCACAACAGCTGAAGTCCCAGCCAGCCGCTTTTTGACTCCCAGCCCCTCAATTAAAACCGATGAGAGAAGCAGTATCCTCTCTTCCTCTCCCAGTGGCAAGATGCTTACATGGGAATTCCCACACCGGGCTGGGACAGCAGCTATCTATCTAGCAGCTTGGATTTGACAGTAACCAGTACCAGATGTTTCAGCGAAGGCATAATAAAATGCAGAGAGTGTAATTGTGGAGAAAACGACTCAGTTTTTCCCATTTCCCACTGGTCCCTGGGCAATACACATATCCTGGGACATACTACATCCCAAGAAACTTGTCTGGCTATTCAGAAATTGGCCAAAAAGCTGTCCAGATGGCAACCCTGAATTCAGTGCTGACTGGTAAAATAGAGAAGCTGTGGACTGTCCTTACTGTAGGGCCCTTAAGAGAGTTTGGATTCCCATTTTAGTTTTAGTCTAGCTGTGAAATGTAAAGAAGGTAAAACATTTCCAGAAATTTTAAAAAGGTTTTTTCTCTTATAAGGAGACATACTAAATAAGTGCTGTCAGGTGAGCATGAGTCTTGAAGGCTGGAAATAGAAACTTGAAAATACATCTGCAGGACCAGTCTTTCCCTGATGACTGTGGCACACCAGTTAATACCAGCTGGGAATCAGGTCCCGCTCATCAAGAAGGTCAATTGCACCATTGTTAGCCCAAGACAGCAACTGAACAGCTACTCTGGTAGCCCAGTAAGATGCAACTCAGAAAGCTCTGCTTTTGAATATTCCCAACAGCACACCAGTCCCTGGAAGAGAATCCTCTGCATCAGGGAACTCTTGCTGACAAACATCTACTGTCTAAAACTCTGCCCCCTGCAAGACATTTTGCACCACACAAGGTTTAGGGTAAAATGGAAACCATATGATGCTTGGGGCTGATCCAGACAAACATGCAGGGGCAATCCTGCGCTCCTGTGCCCTGTGAGCTGGGCAGATGTGAGGCAGCTCTGATTCAGGAGCTGTGCAGCTGCATCCCTGCTGCACCACTGCCAATACCGTCAGCCACACTAAGCAGCACCTGGCCAGTCCAGAGGGCTGCCCACGCCTGCTCAAATAGGCACGTCCTTGGTTTTGCCAGCTGAGGTGCCTGGAGCCCAGCATTGGCTGCCCTGGACCAAGACAGGCACATCTGCAGCAGGGCAGAGTGCAAACCAGGCAGAGAGATTTTTTTTTTTTCCCCCCTTGCTGTTTTCAAACTTCTTTGGAGGACCTGACAATGAATCGAAGTCACAGTTTTGCAGAAATGCACAGAACATTTATTCAATCCGACAGAAGTGTACAAATGTTTCTGAAAGACAAAAAGGCACAAAACAGGTCCTGGTTTCTTACTGCCTAGCATACAGATGATCCCGTGAACCTGAAAGCAGGAAGCTAGCTGGCTCCTACATGGGAAAGCAGTGGAGTTTCAGAAGGATTCAGTTCACTAAAAGCCTACTATTTTTCCCCTTTCTTTTCTTTTGACCAGTGAGATGGTTTCATCTGGTAAATTTTAATGCATAAGGGCACTTACTGAAATGAGGTACAGTTATAATACAACAACAAACTCATTTACAGCATCTCTGCGCAGAAACTGGCAGTAGTACCAAAATGATGATAAGCTTTGGGACATGAACAAACACTTAACAATTATGCAATTATGTTGAGACCATAAAAAACATCCTCTTCTGAGCAGTTCCTGAGCAAGGGGATAAGGAATATGACATGATAGTTAAGGGTACATAGCATATTTCAGTGAAGATACAGCCATCATTCTTACATTGCTGTCTTCTCATGTTGTATCACAACTGTTAGAAGGTTACTGATCCATACTGTGAAATCTCAAACAGCAGGCCCATCTCTCTTAGCTTGCCCTTTTAAAAAGAGGACTCAAGAGAAAATCAACACTAGCTTTCACAGTTCTTGGTGGCATCTTTACAATGACAAATGTTACATCTCCCCTGCTACCCATTGCTTCTTGCAAAGCATTTGAAATCATGTCATAAATTAAAGATTATAAAACAAAGGTTTCAAAATAACTTAATTGTTACATTTATCATGGGGAAAATCTTGCATTGAATATTAAATACTATCCTTAAAGCCATTTGGTCATACAGAGAGCAACTATGGACATTTAGAAAAGCAAATGCAATTATATTTCCGAAGTGCTACTGAGATTAGAGAATGAGCCATCAGAGGTAAACAATCTTCTCCTCTACTCCGCCTCCACTTTCTGCATCCTGCAGGC